TCTAGACAATAAACTTGGAAAGTAATTCTGACTATAAACGATATAAACATCCATCCATCATCTATACACCGCTTAATCCTCACTAGGGTCATGGGGGGCTGGAGTCCATCCCAGCTGACTCAGGGTGAAGGCAGGTTCACCTGGACAGGTAACCAGTCTATCACAGGGCTACACTTAGAGACAGACAACCAAGCACACTCACATTCACACCTACGGACAATTTACAATCACCAATTAACCTCAACTGGACTGTGGGAGGAAGCCAGAGAACCCAGAGAGAACCCACGCTGCACGGGGAGAACATGGAGACTCCACGCAGAAAGATCCCGGGTGTCCTCAGCGGTACACGAACCGGCGACCTTCTAGCTGCGAGGCAACAGGGCTAACCACTGATCCACCTTGCAGCACACAATATAAACAATAATAAACAGACAATCATAACCGGTGTGTGTAATTCAAGCCAGCCGTACAGAAACACTGCCATAGGCCGCATGTCTCGTTTAAAATTAGAGCTATAGGCACAAATACAGCGGGACACTGGCAGCAGATCCTTTGGGTGTTCTGGTGTGGGGCCTCCACGGACCGGGCGCGATGCTTGATGTAATTGGGATCTGGGGAGTGTGGAGGCCTGATGAACAGCTCTGGCTCTTTATTGAGTTCCTTGAGCTACTTCAGAGCAGTTTTCGCAGCCTCTCAGGGCGCATCACGCATCACTGGGTCACGTCACTGCCCTGGAGTAGTGCTGGTGCCATGGGGGACCATGTTTGACCCAGAACCGTGGCTAAGGGGCCAATATGTAACATCCAGTGAGCGTCCCAGCAGAAAATCACATTGTAAAGAAATAATAAATGTTCACTTCACTGATGGCCGTATCTCTTTATCAGACTCACGTTGTCCAAGAAAAATGTCTGGAAGCTTCAGCGGGAGGAACGAGTTCCTGCAAGAACATGAAAAACACATTTTCCATTCACTGCTTAACAACACATGTGATGTTGTATGCACAGCGTTACATGCTGCAGCCTTTCTGTGTGCTCGGTCCTGTTTCATGTGTCAGTAACAACGGCTGGACAAATACATGCTTCACATGAAGCTGATACACAGAGCAGAACCGTAAAATGACATTTTAATGTGTTCATTGTTGTAATTTTGTTTGGACTGTTTTCTATTTGCTCGGCGCTGAATTCCACAACAATGCCGACTCCTTTTAATTAACCACTAGTCACACGAGTTTACATTATCTCAAGCCCACGCGGGAAGTGTTTAACATTCACATATTAAGTGCGTGGTGAGTCACTATTTACAGTAGCCTGAGTAGGAGTTACTGTTAATGTTACTAGCCGTCAAAGAGCATCAATCTGGGAGCTTCGCGTCTCCAACAGAATCTGCATTTAGCCCTGATACAGCAGGAAGCAGCACATCACAGCCTTTTGTAGGACAGTAGCCTCTTTGAGTCTGTAAATAGCAATAAGAATGTCAGGAAGTGTGTGGTAACTCTGCTCTGAACACGGTTTTTACTTCAATCACAGCATGTGGTGTGGACAATGAGGGGAATGTGTCGGACTTTCAGGCGAGAATACTTTTAGACAAGTTGGTTTTAGGTATTTTTAGGAATTACAGT